CTTCAAAGTATCATCTTGTGTTTTCAACAATACACATACACATTTTGAACAATATAAGGGTGAGTAAATGACAGAATTGTAATTTTTTGGTGAACTATCAGCCCTGTGAAAGCTTGAAAACACTGATCTAGACAGTCTCATAGCTTTAAATCCAATAAAACATCTAGCAAAATCAGTATCCATAGGCTCTTTGAGATAAATACAGTTCTCTTTTTGTTATATACCAGATTTGATACTGGACAAGCCAACGGCAAATAATACCACTATTCAAGATGCTTTAGAGACATCAGAAGCCCTGCAATAACAAAACGCTGGACTTCTGCCAGAGAAATGCCAGCGTGTGGGGCTGAATCTTCAGCCCGTAGTTGCAAACCATCTTAATTGTGTTAGTATACCTTTAGAGAACAGAAGCCACCGTCTTCTCTAAATCAATATTGAGGACAGGGTTTGCCAGGTACTTTGACCTAATCATTCTTTACATGAGTGATTCACTCAATACAACAGATAAAGAGATCAGCGCTCATCCTCAACACGTATAGCTCTCACTCTGTAGCAGTCATTACAGGCGGTTTTGTCTGCCCTGTAGTGACTCACTGTGACGTTATGTAAAAAATGTCTGCTTCAATCTAGTTCTCCTTGATTTCCCTCCCTGTTCCATGTTTTTCTTTCGTGTTCTATTCAACAGAATAATCATTCAGAGTATCAGGTGAGGCACAAAGGACAAGGAGTGCCATTAAAGTCTTTCATGGGACAGTCAAAATAAAAATGCAGTCATCAAATACACTCAATCATGTCATTACATACCCAGATGTTTGCTTTTCCAAGATGGACTGCCAAGCTCCAAAAATGACAAAAAGTACCATAAAAGTAGCTATATGACTTGAGAGCTTTATTTACAGTCTCTTGAAATCACACATTATCAAATCTCATTCACTCAAGAACAAATTAGATTCCTATATGTAGCACTAAGTCATTTTAGTTTTCCATGGTTTCATTTATTTAGAAAACATTTTAAAAATGGAGCTTATGCTACATGTCATCCGCTAGAACGCCACTCTCTCGTGAATGCGTGTACAACAGTTAGTGGAAACTAGAGATTACTAGGGATGCTCTGATCAGGATTTTTGCAGCCGATACTGAGTACCGATTTCTTGTCATGGTGATCGGCCGATACCGATGCCGATTCTGATGCTTCAAGCTACGATTTCATCGGGTGCACGCGCTTTGCCCAGCCCGAAGTTAACTTCCGGTCAGTGTTTGTTTATCAGTCTGGCTATGGCACCGGCTACAAACGCAATTAAAGTTAAGGTGATGAGTAGACTGAAGTTGGGCTCAGGTGGTTGTGCTGTGGGATGTGTTTCCCATACATTTATTTATTTGTGGCGCTCGCCACAATATCAAAACTGACCGATTTTCCAAAAGGCTTTGTTGAATAAACATGAGCACGTACTGCACATTTAAAAATCAAAACAAGGCGCGGGTGTTTTTATATCACTGTATTTCTGAAGGAAGACTATCTTTAGAAAATTTTCGATGTCATTTTCATTTAATCTTTCATGTTATATGCCTGAAAAAGCAGAGTTTGTGAGCTCAGCGCTGCTTTGTGTACAGCTGTTACCGGGGAAACCTGTTTCTACCGCTTTAAAATGTTCTGATTATTTGCGGTTTGGTCGCGGGTGGATAAAATAAATCATAAATGATGCAAATATTAACAATTTTTTTCATGAGGCAGACGATTTTCACCACTTCAAAGGTACTTTTACGGTCAGAAAATTTTGCTTTTTGTTATTTTTGTAACTCAACCATTCTCATTTTAATTGTATAGAAAAGAGCAGCCTGAACACTCTGCTGAACATCTGCTTTGTTATTTGCCAGGAGTTAAAAAGTCAAGCTTGCAGTGACATTAGATTAAAAAAATATATTTTTTTTAAAAGTTAATTTGCATTTTTGAGTGAACTATTCTTTTAAGTAGTCCCAAATTCCAGGCCTTCAGCTGGGACCATGCCATAAATCATAAACAGGAAATGCAAGAGATTTATCTGGAAGTACATCCTGCAACGTTAGAACCACAGGAAACGGCTGGGAGAGGGAACAAAACAGCAGCACCATGTTCACACATGAGTCCGAGTGCTCTGAAACCGACACAAGCTGCAGCACACACTAACAATAGCCTGGCTTGATGATAACAGAAAGACTGCAAAACCCCCCCAAAGATCTGAGTCATCATTAGACCCACGTGACGCTCACAAAAAAAAGCCAAGGGACTGAGAAAGAAGGGTTATTGAGGTCTCGGTGGCTGAGGAGGGGACAATGAACAGCACAAATTACATGCAGAGTGAAACACTATTTTTACGAAAGTCACTCCTTAGAGACGGTTCTGGTTTCCTGAGCCTTTCCTGGAAGCTGCACCGTCCTGCCCTGCTTCCTGTGCCACAAGTGACATTCCTGACAGGAATCTACGGTAAGGAGGAGAACTTGGTTGTACAGAGCACTTAGATGAACACTTCATCTGTTCACATGCACGTCCTCTTCCCTGTTTTTGTCATCAACTAAAACTAAGAGACAGTAAGAATTAAGTGGAATCAAAACAAAACCAAGCAGGCAAGTGAACACAGAAATTTAACCACAGACCTCCCAAAATAAAGTCTTATTCAGCTTCTGAATCAGGAAGTGATACATCCTATATTCTTTTGTTTAAGCGGAGTTAACTTCCGTTCATCTGAAGAAAAAGCAGAAGTTTTACATTGGATGCATTTTCCCAAGGAAATGAGTCAAAGACACAACATTCATTTACGAGGGAGGTGTAACGACACAGCAGAAATGTGTGACACAGCAAAATGTTTCTCTCCTAATTCGGTTTATCTTACTGTCAATTTCTGTGAATTTGAGTTTCATGCTAAATCTATAATTGATCTTTTTAAAATGAATAATTGGTCATTTTAAAGCCGAAATCTTCCTAGTCTGTTTTTTGTGAAGTCAGACTTACAGACCTATATAATGTGAGCTTGGCATCATTTAGCAAGTACACACATTAATCCGACTACATCTAGCTAAGCATTGTGTAATTGATGTAATATACATTTCATTCTTCAAATATCTGACCACACATGGTGTTATATATAATTGGACAGTCAGATAGAGACTGTAGAGTGCAATAGAGCAACCGTCCACTTCTTTAGCAGCCTTGATTCCACAAGTCCTTTCCCCATTAATTTCCAATAGGGATTTAAGAGTTATAAGCCATGAACCAAACCAACCAGCTACGAGGTAAATCACAACAGTACTAACTTGGTTTTGAAGCAAAAAAGTATTTGAAAAGACAAAGGTAAAAGACTGTATTTAAAGGGACAATTCACCCAAAAATTAAAATTCTGTCATTAGCCTAATTACTCACCCTTATGCCATTACAAACCTGTAAGACATTAGTTCATCTTCAGAACACAAATTAAAGGGTTAGTTCACCCAAAACTGAAAATTGGCTTGCGTTTTACTCACCCTCGAAGCACCACCGTGCCAGTTGAACAGTCCACAAGTTCTCAAATAAAGCACGCGCATTCATAATAAAACGTGCCTCGGGGGGGGTGAATAAAGGCCTTCTGTAGTGAATCCATGAAAAGAAAAAGTCAAAATGTTAATTTTTCAAACGTAATAAACACTTTTATATCACATCCGCCAACTGTCATACGGGGAAGCCGTTCCGGTGGATGACGTAGCACGTCGGCGTTACGGGATTAGTGACGAACGTGGAGAGACAACAAAACAAAATGCCGGTCACGAATTAGAAGTACAAACCGAAGATTTGCAGAGAAAAATGTCGATAAGCCAGGAGGAGACTGGTTTTCCTTTGCTAAAGTAAGGAAACTTTGCTTCCTTTGCTCCTATAAACAAACCCGCGAGACTAGCATATCTCAGAGGGGGTGAACTATCCCTTTAATGGCAGCAAGAACTACAATTCCTTGAAATAATTGTGAATGACTACCGATTTAAAAACAACAGAGAAATGTAAAACATTATTTAAAAGATGTTCATTATATATAGTGACTCGATTATGTCATCTGTAGTGCTTCACAGAAGTGGATGGCACTAAAGAGCTGATTTGAATTTCTCTAATTGGGGGTGATTTCTGAGAATCATGAATAATGCAGATTTTCACCAGGAATTCCAGTGTTAAACACAAATATTTAGCTACTAGGTTGTTAATCGATATACCAGCTCACACTAGGTTTTTTTTTAACAGTTTATAAGTTATCTTTAAAAATGAATTCACCTATGGAGAAAATTAATATCATTTTTACTTCCAGAGTCCGACTGTTGCAGTACTTCAATTATAACCATGCATGTAAACATAATTTTTAATGATGCAAAACTGATTCAGACCAAAAGTGGGATAGCGTTGAAATCAAAGTTGGTTTTGATTGAAGTCAAGCTTAAAAACACTATATAAGGGCCTAAATAACATGTTTTTTTTTTCATAACATGGGATAGGTTTTTCCACTGAGAGCAATCTAATTCCACTGTGGTGAAAAGGAGGAAGAGGAAAAAGCAGAAAAGGAAAATGTAGCAGTGATAGAAGAGAACAGAGTGGTGAAGAAAAAGAAAAGTGCACTGTGCGTGAAGTGAATAGTCCAAGTGTTTTACTGCAGGAACGAGTAGCACATTCCCCTGTAAAACAAACGAGCCGTCTTAAATGCCTAGATTTGTGCCGGCCCAAGAATAGCAGTCCAACGCCAGGCCGAGATCCCCGGGGAATTGTCAGGGGGAGAGAAGGGAAACTCGGATGAGAGGAAGGGGTTTGGTTTGTGGCTGCTGATAAGATGCTTGAGGGGGACATGAATACTTTGCTGATAGTTTGGGGTTTTCATTGGACACACAAAATGGGTCATGAAAACAAAGCTTTGAAATACCGAAAACAAACCACACAATATGGCAAAGGCTGCAATGATTCAGAGGTGATTTTTAAACATGCCAAAAAGGCACAGAGGGTTCGCCGGGTTCCTTACCTCTCCGAAGGCTCCCCTGCCAATCACTTTGAGCATCTCAAAGTCATCTCTGTGAAGGCGCATCTCCTTCACGGTGGTTGTGAATGGCTTCACTGTGAAGAGAGATGGAGAGAATTAGTTATGCAATGGTTTGAAAAAAAAAAAAACTTTGAAATGGGCAATGGAGAAAGATGCTGGCACAGCCATGCTAAGTAATCCTTGACATTGATGCACCAATATTAAAATGTTGGCAGATACAAATAAGCCGACAATGATCATATATAATATATAATTACAATTTAGAATTATGGCCAAATAGCGCTGACAAATGATTAATCGCATCCAAAATAAAAGTTTTTGTTTACATAATATGAGTGTGTACTGTCTGTTGTTCTGTTGTCGGTGTTTCATTGTCTGAATATGGCACTTAACACATGCTGTGTGGTATCGGCGTTTGGTATCAGGGCATTTTAACGAGTACGAGTACGAGTACAGGAGCTCAGTATCGGGCCCGATACCGATACCAGTATTGGTGCATCCCTAATAAATATAAAATAATATAAAGGAAATATAATAAATATATACATACATTCAAATATATAACAAATTAATATACAATTAATATTTAACAAATAAACATTCACATATAAAAAAAAATAATGTTTTTTTATTAATTAAATATATAAATTATATGAATATAAATATATACATGTAAATACATGTAGATATTTTCAAAATATATACCTTGTGTGTGTATTTAAATATACATAATAAATATACACAGTACACATACCTATATTATGCAAACAAAAACTTTTATTTTGAAATGCGATTAATCGTGATTAATTAAGCACTATGGCCAAAGTTAGAATTTGATACCATTTTGTGAAGAAAAAACAAAAAAACTAAACTAAGATCTATTGTGTAAGTGAATTTAGTACAGAATAATGTATAGTATGAAAATATTCATTTTTCATTTTATAAACATTTAAGTGTTAGCCTATTAAATTAGTATTTTCAAAAGATTAACTTATCAGGAATGGAAATGAGGAAAATGAACAATTAAATAATAAACTAATCAATTTATGTAAACGTGTTTATGTAAATGTATTTTATATTTTTTATGTCTGTATTCATGTAAATGTAATATGTATTGCTTAATTTATGTAAATTTAAGTATAACATAAATAATAAAAAAATAAAATTAATAAATAAAATAAAATAAAAGGCCAGAAAACTGCTATGGTACTAGCATGATCATCTTAAAAGTAGCAATATAGGAGTACATATAAATGTGCTACTGAAATTATGGATTTTGATCTAAACGTCACCACAATCTGTATACAAGCGGAGCTCCAGTGAATCCATTAAATGCAGCAGTCAAGAGATTAAAGAAACAATGTAACCTAAACAGTGTGTGTCAAATTTCATGTTGTCAAACTGTCGTCCCTTCTGCTTTACGAGGCATCGCTGGTGGCTTGGCGAGCACCCAAGACACAGCTAAGCCAGCCTGAACGCCTCGCCATATGAGGACATACGTCGAGTCTTATGTAGTTACAAAAGACATTTATCACTCATAAGGGCTCTAAACTCTAAACACACGACAGGCCTGCGCCTCAGCCATTCAGGCAGAACCACATGCTTGGAGCTGCATGGAAAGAACATCATCTGCTTTAATGAGAAGATCCCTCAAAGTGGCCCAGCATCTATCGACAGCTTTATAGCCCAGCATGCACGAGGCCAGCGAACTGGTATGTCACTCCCAAGACAGCAGCAACAAAAATAAAAAAATCTGATATTATCGTTAATTTAGGAAGCTACTAGTATTAACAGCACCACTGACAACAGAAGTTCATAATGTTGAGTCATAAACTGGTGGTGCACCACTGTGTATCTTAACCCACTGACCACGCAAAGCGGTTCTTCCTGTCACCTACTCTCAGCCTCAGACGGGACGGCGTGGGCCATTCAAGGAATGCGTGATGCAAGTTATGTCATCTTCTGAGAATTAGGATGCATAACTTCCCAGCATAAGGAAGGATGCATGAGGCATTCGCTGTTGATTATTAATCTCAGAGGAGTTTGACGCAACTCCATTTTAATTTTCAACCACTGCCAACCATTAGATCCTCAAAAGGCACCCACAAATCTGGACAATCATCCATGTTACAGGAAAATAAATTAAATAATACAATGTTGAAATAAAACCAAATCTGTTAATAAATAATAATAATAATAATAAATTACATACATATATACAGGTCCAAAAAAAACAATAGACTAGCATACACAATACTTTTAAAATCACTCCTTGGGGACAAAAACTGCCTTTCATATTTAAAATTGTATGCTTTGTTTTCCATACATGTAATCTGATGTATTTCATACATGTAATCCTCTCAGCCCCCTAAATATGAGGCATTTCTCTAAGTCTCCAGGTCCATATTCTCAATTACAATAAACTCTCATCGCACACATACTAAATGATTACGGCAACATCAGAACACCAGCTGCACGACTGAAAACATGAAAACAAGCTGCTAGACAAGTTCCTGCGGCCAACAGAAACAGAGGCAAAACTACGAAGTCTGGAGTCAGTAAGACTTTTTTTTTAAATTAATACTTTTATTCAGCAAGGACGCGTTATATTGATCTACAGTGACAGTAGAGGTTACACAAGATTTAGATTTCAAATAAATGCTGTTCTTTTGAACTTTCTATTCAGCAACGCATCCTGAAAACAAATATTCCACAAAAATATTTTGCATTGATAACAATAAGAATTTTTTCTTGAGCAGCAAATTAGCATGATTTCTGAAGGATCGTGTGACACTGAAGACTGAACACTCTCAGAAAAAAAGGTACAAAAGCGGTCACTGGGGCAGTACTTTTTCAAAAGGTGCACTTTTGTACCTTTTAGGTACTAATATGTACACTTAAGGTACTAATATGTACCTTTAAGGTACCAATATGGACTGTTTAGGTACAAAGGTGTGCCTTTTGAAAAGGTACCGCCCCAGTGACAGATTTTGTACCTTTTTTTCTGAGAGTGTAATGGCTGCTGAAAATACAGCTTTGACATCAGAGAAATAAATTATATTTAAAAAATATATATTAAAATAGAAAAATATATTAGAGATTGTAGAGAGAGAAATATATAACTATTTTGTCCCATCCCTAAGAGTTTCTGTGTAAGTGTCTCTGCCTGACACGCTGCATCACTTCCTGCATCCAAAAGAGTTTTGCGGTTAGCATGCATGCTCCATTAGACATGACACTGGAGCCCTGTGCACAAAGATTAGACTGTGATAGATGAAGCAGCGAACCATCCTCCTCACGCAATAGACACTGTAACACTACTCACTGTAACTGCTGCTCTCATTAACACCTTCACACACATCATCTAACGATGTCTTCATGAAGGACACGCCTGACTTGACATATAAAAGCTCCAGCTTTATGAGTTTAAAATAGACTGCATTATCCCATGTGTGTCAAAGCGGAGCATCTCCAATCAATATGACACAATTAAATATTTAACAATGATGATGGGTCACAGCAAAACTAAAGCCAAATGAAAATGCTCTGCCCTATTTTACGTCAAGTTTCTGTTGGTAACACTTCATAACAAGGGTCCATTTGATAACTACATTAGTTAACATGACAACAAAGAATACTTCTAAAGCATTTAGAAACCTTAGTTTGTTTATTTGAGCATTTACTAATACATTATTACAATCAAAAGTTGTATCTAGTGACATTATTTTGCTGTTATTGTTACTAATGACAATAAGTGGATTGTAAAACTAAAACCCTAAACTGAAAATCAGTACATGTTAGACTAATCATTATTACTCAGTACTTATAACGTAATTACACTGTAAAAGGGCAATCTGAAAAAATAAAGTGCAACTAATATTATAGAACAATTTTGGTGTTTGCAAACAGTGATGACGTTTTTGTGGGCAGAGCCTAGGGCTGTGCAAAAAATCAAATGCGATTTTCATGTGCATCTCGTCAGTAAAGCCGCTTATGGTGATTAGTAGTAAATCTCCAGCACATGCTTTCAGAAGGAGCGGCATTTACTACACAGAGCAGTTAACTGACAAGCTACACAAAATCGGCAATGAATCGCCTGCGAATTTGAACGTGATTTTCTGTAGCTTGTAAGTGATCTACGGCTCTGTTTAGTAAATGCCGCTCCATCTGAAAGCTGGCCCTGTATCGATATTGTGGCACGTGTGCAGCAGTGGACCGCGCTTAATTTGAATACAAGAACAACGTTTAAAATTTAGCAGAAATGTGTGAGGTTTCTAAAAAATAATGAATAGAGCATAATATATAGGCTATAACAAGGTTTAATCTGGCCGCAGAGGAACACAACTGGGTTCCTGATATAAAGAGATGTAATCCCTGAAACAGAGCTTCACCACTTGCGCAATACGGAAATATCTGCTAAGTGTGCTACTTATCTTTGTCAACCATGTGTGCACGCACTCTCTCTCCACTGTGGATAAACGCGTTTGCTTTCTGAAACACCGGTTTTAGTTTTAGCTAGCAGTTTAGCGATCTCCACTAATATTCTGCTCTCAGAAAAGTGTAATTCATCAAGTGTTCATTTATGAGGGGGGGGGCTGTGCATGTATGAATTACCACCGTTTTGCCGAGTTTCTCTATTAACAGTGAAGCTGTGGCTTTAATTCCTTCGGAAACAACGATGTTACCAGTTCCTTGTTGAGAAAGATAATGTAGCTCTTGAGTGATTAAGCTATTTAGTTGATAAAATTGCAGGGCAGTGCTAAAAAGTTTGTTCATGAATGTCTGAGTGCAGCCACAACGTGATCTGTGTGAGTGACTGAGCATGTGTGTGTGTTAGATACGGAAGACAGCGCATTAGTTTAGAACTCTTCTAATTTTTATTTTTTAAACGTAGAGAGTGTGTTAATTTGTACAATGATAACCTACCAGTAATGTAAATATGATTTATAAAAATATATTAGAATGAGTACATTACAATACAAATTTATTATATTTCAAACTTATGGCTTTTTTCCTCAGAATTGACAAACTCGCAATTGATGAGTTAAATCAAGTTATAAATGTTAAGTAAAAT